TATATATATATTTTTATATATATATATTCTTTTCCAGTTCTTGGAGTGGTTACAACTACTTTAGTCTACAAGGCATCCTAAGGGCACTTCCTGGCTCTAGCAATAAAGTCCATCATATTGTGGAGAGAAGTAAAGGGAATATAATTGAGGGAGAAGAACAGAACAGTTTCCTATCTTGTGTAATATCATGTAACAGGTCGACACCTCTGAGAACTATCATTGCTGTTTCTGAGCCCAGATATTTTCTGTGTTCCAGGAGGGAAAATGTTCTTGTTCAATTGCTGTGTACAGAGGTGCCACTATGCGATTTTCCCTTTTTGGTGGATAAGTAGTCGCTTCCAAATAGTTTGGACTGGATGATACAATATCCTATTATCATTTTTTGTTGATTTGTTTAAAGGGAGATTAAAAGAGTTTTGCTTTTTTCTTCATGTCGTTGCGTCTCCAGAGAGGTAACTTGTCAAACTCCTGTATCGTCATGCCAAATATTTCTTGAAAAACTTCAGGTGCTAAGTGACGCTTTAAAAAAAAAAAAAAAAAAAGGAGGAAAAAAAAAAAGGAGAAAAGGCAATCGTCAGTCAAAGCCAAAGAGACACAACAGGAGACAGGAGTGCCTTAGGGATTCCATGCCACTGTGTAAGAGCCATTGCAAGAAACAATAATGCTCTGGCAATACACATATCCAAGTCCTCATGTGCTTGGGTGCTCAATGAATCAATAAAATTTTGCAATGTAAGTCTGAGAAGTTTATAACGGAAATCAGGAGAACTATTTCAAGTTGCTGAATAAGCGAGAGACAGAAAAATGCTTTGTCTGAAGTCACCCAACAAACAGTGATAGACCAGAGAACATTAGCTAGTCACCTCTGCTTACATATGGAAGTTCAAACCGACACTGGGTTTCAGGAGAGCTTTGCAGAAAGGCTGCAGGTTGACATGCTCCATTTGAAGTTCTGAGAAGAAAGATGTCTGGCCAGAATAACTGTCCAGCACATTTCTCTACTGCCAAGGAAACATTTTTGGTGCTGTTTTGTGCACAAGTTACTTCTTGTTCAGCTGCTTTACAGTGCACTGGATGGGGAAAGTGTCTCCCTGTGGCACTAAGGTAGCACAGTGTTGAATTCTGATTAGTGATCACATATTTACTAGTCTAAAAATGTGCATGAACGGTTACTTACTCAAACTCTTGTGGCCCCTTCCATTCATTTCCACAGATTAACTAACTACAAATGACTTATCCCCAGCCTTCCACTGGGCTGCTTCAGTCTTTCTAATCCATGAAGTTATAAACAATTTTTATTTGTTGGCAGAGATTTGAATCCTCATGTTTTTGGACATCAGCCAACTCACAGGACTCATGGATGAGTTCAAGAAAATTAGACTTTTGATCCTCAGGGATGGCTGACCTTGACTCTTAGCTAAGAAACGATCCAAGATCAAACAAAGTATTGCTTCATGCCAATATGGATCCTATGACTACAAAACACTTCACCAATTTTGGGCTTTCTATCAATTTACAAGTATATAATTAATTGCTTGAAAACATAAGGGGGTTGTGAGAACCTCAGTCCAGAGGCAGGGAGACAGAGATGTGGGACTCCTGGCCCAGCACTGGTCATGGAGATGCGGCTGCTTCCTCCCCCTCTCTGACTCTGTCCCTGCTTAGTGCTGAGAAATCTTCCCAGTCTAACAAGGACCCAGACTTCAGTGTCTGAGCTTTCAAGTGTGCAACAAC